ATAGAGATCTTATTAAAGTACAAATTCTGATTCTGTAGAACTCTTTCAAACAAGTGATGATTTATGCTACTGGTTGGAGGATTGTTTGCTATTCAAAGCGTTGCTTGTTATGCAACATTAACACTTCTCACACCAGATCAGATGCTTGGTTAAAAGAAAAAGGGGGAAGAAGGACACCAAAGGGGCTGGCAGGTGATGTGGTTTAGGGCGCTGGACTCCCACATGGCCAACGGTGGTTCAAGTTCCAGACCTGGAGGCTTGCTTTCTCACTTGTTCTCTCTCTCTCTCTGGAAGTATTAAGAAAGAAAGAGAGAGAGAGAGAAAGAAAGAAAAAATAATTCTTTTTTTTGGAGAGGTTTTCGCTATAGGGCATGTGCGCTCTCCAGACAGACAGAGAGAGACATAGAGACAGAAAGTGAGAAATCAGCCCCCGGGGGGGATCGTCACGCTGCAATCCCTTCTCCTCCATTCTCCTCTCGGGATCTTGGGCACGCATGCACATGCACCCGGCGTGAGTTTTAAGCCACCGGGTCCAGGACACGAACCGCGGTCGACTACGCGGGAGTCCAGCAACATAGCCATTACGCTAACTGCTGGTTCCAAATAATTCTTAAATAAATAAATAAACATAAATTAAAAACAAAACTACTTGCTCTTCTCTCCCACCACTACAAAGCTTCAGTTTATCCTGGACATTGGTCACATCCTTTTCTCTCAGCCCTTTGGTTCACCCCTCTTCCCCTCTCCCCAGTCTGCTTTCTTTAAACACCATTTTCTCATTCTTTTTCCTCCTTCTGAGCCACAATCTCTTCCTTTCAGGATTCCATCTGTTCCCTTTTTTGTTTGTTTGTTGTTTTAGAGGTTTTTGCTATAGGGCATGTGCACTCCCCAGAAAGACAGAGAGAGACAGAAAGCGAGAAATCACACCCCTAGAGGGGATGGCCACGCTGCAATCCCTTCTCCATTCTCCTCTCAGGATCTTGGGCACACACTCACAAGCACCCAGCGTGAGTTTAAGCCACTGGGTCTAGACTTGAACCATGGTCAACTACATGGGAGTCCAGCGACATAGCTATTATGCCAACTGCTGGTCCCTGTCTGTTCCCTTTTTAATAAAACCAGCCTATACTAGATGAGTGTTTCCCAAACCTGGATGGCCATCTCAGGAACTTCTTTAATAAAAACTGCATAGGGGCCAGCAGGTGACATAGTGGTTAGGGGCACTGGATTTCCATATGGCCAACCATGGTTCAAGTCCTAGACCAGAAGGTTTGCTCTCTCACTTTCCCTCTTTCTCTCTCTCACTTTGTCCCTCTCTGGCCAAGTTAAAATGAATGAATGAATTAATTAATTAATTAATTAAACTTAAATAAAGTAATTCTTAAAAAAAAAAACAACTGTATAAAGGCACTGGATTCCCACAAGGCCAACTGCAGTTTGAGTCCTGGACATGGTGGCTTGCTTTCTTGCTTTCTCTTTTTCTCTCTCTCTCTGATCAAAATTAAAAAATAATAACAAATGGAATTAAATAAAAAATAAAGAATTTCTAAAAAACAAAAAACACTGCATAGCTGGGCCTACTGCCCATGTACTCATAATCCCCAGTGTGGAGTCTGGAACTCTTGAAACGCTCCTGCTAGTAATTTTTAGCATTAGAACCACAGAACTAGATGATATCTTTGCCAACTCTGAAGTGCCCTGTTCCACTATTCTGTCCCGTTTTGAAGGTTTTCCGATACACCATCTGTACTTTATCTGCACTGTATGTTCTGTTTAGTGCTACCTCCATGACAGCAGAAACCTTGTGTTTTTTTCTGTACTACCCAATATAGCACCCAGCACAATATATGGTACACAGAAGGTAATATTAAATAGTTATTGAATGAATACACTCCCTTCTTTTCTGAACTTCACTGAATTCTATGCTGCCGTCAGATCTCTCCAATATGAAGTCCTATAACAGGAGCACTTCCTCATTTATTTCACCCTCATACATTATAAATCTTCTCATGAATGGGTATAGCTAAGGCTGAGTCATATAAGTTTTTACCTAATTATCTCTTGTGTTGGTTACTATTTCATTTGTAAAGCTCCCCCTAGAATATGGGTTCTTTAACAATAGAAAATATCTATTAATAGTTATGTGTCCTTTCAAGACCTCCTCTGAGCACAGAGTAGAAAAATTTAAGCCCAGTCTTACAAAGCCTTCTATGTCCTAGCCATTCTAGTCTCCTGGCTTCTCCTCAAGCTTGCAAGGTCTGCCCTGGTCTAAGGCCTTTGCACTTGCCGTAGCAGCTTTCTGGAAATACTTCCCTTAACATCCACAGCTTGTTCCCTTACCTTCTTCGAGACTTTGTTGTAATGTTACCCACTCTCAGTTTTTCATTGACTGTGGGGTGTGAAGTTATATTCCTCAAGTATCCCAGGACTTCTACCCACTTTATTTCTCTAGAGCATTATCATCTTGTAGTATACTATACAACTGAATTCATTTTTTTCCTCTTGTAAAGCATACCAGTTCTTTATGAAAGTAGATTTTGCGTTTTATGCACTGCCATATCTTAAGCACTTGAAATGATATCTCACACAGTATAGGCACTCATAAATATTTGTGAAATAAATACATAATTGTGGTTAGTTGACTTCCAGAGATATCATAGCTGAGCCTTCTTGCTCAAATTTGCTCTCCTTCTGAGAACCTTCGCAATCTGCTGGTTAATGTCATACCCTGTCACTGTCAGTAATACCACCCTGGGCTACAAAGTCATGTATGTGTACATGGACTACTTGAAGTTGCCTATTTTGGCATTCTTGCTAGAAACAAAATCTCTGCAGTCAGGCAGAGAATTAAGATGAAAAGAACCAGAGTTTCTGCATTAGACTGACCTGCTATGTGACTTTAGCAAGTTAGGTCTCAGGATCTTAATTTCATCAGTAGGGATAACAGAGCTACATTCATACAGTATATTTGAATATTGATTAGATATAAATTGCCAGACACATGAAAGGACCACTGTAAGTCTTAGTTTCTTTCCCTGTAGCTATCTATTAAGCAGGATTTCTTGTCTCTGAAATATGTCCCTTAGTAAAGTGGGAAAATAAGTTTGTACTGTAACTTGAATAGTGGAGTTCTGATTTTCTTTAAGTTTGTTACACTTTTTTTTTTTGAGAGATTTTCACTGTAGGGCGCGTGCGCTCGCCAGACAGACAGAGAGAGACATAGAGACAGAAAGCGAGAAATCACCCCCCAGGGGGGATGGTCACGCCGCAATCCCTTCTCCATTCTCCTCTCAGGATCTTGGGCACGCACGCACACGCGCCCGGCGTGAGTTTTAAGCCACCGGGTCCGGGACACGAACCGCGGTCGACTACGTGGGAGTCCAGCGACATAGCCATTACGCTAACTGCTGGCTCCCAAGTTTGTTACACTTTTTAACTTAAAAAGTTTTCTAAAATTCTCCATAAACATCTGATGATAATAACATTTATTTTGATACTTCCCTATGCATATTTTCTTTTGTGTCTGCTTTCTACCTAATGTGCTCTCATGTATTCCAAGTCCTCAAATATCACTTTAAGCCTATGGTTTATAAACATTTGTCCTAAATTTAACTCATGTCCAAGCCCAAGACAAATCTCCCTCCAGCATTCACTTCCTAGTAAATAGTGTGATCATTCATGTAATTCCTCAAAGCAGGAAATTGTCCTTACCTTTTTTCTTCTCTCTATTTCACCCAAGTATTCATTAGCTCCTGCTGATTCTACCTCCTCATTGTTTTTAATTCAATTTTCTTGTAAATATCAATCACTACCTTAGTCACTGCCTGAAGTTACAGACTGATCTCCGAACTCCTGTCTAGACCCAAAAGACAAAATGATCTTTATATTATTACATTCTTCTGGTTAAATCTTGTAGAAATAAATGAAGATAGGCCAAGGAGAACAGAGTGTTTATTCAGAGCTTGCTCTGTGCAGAGAATCAGCCACTGTCACTTGCTTTGGGCAGAGATTCCAAGGCAGGCCAGGGAAGCTTTATAGTAAGAAAGAAAAAGAAGACTTCTAGTATGTTTTGATTGGAGGTTACCATGGGGAATCTAGAGGTGGGCTAGCTAGAAGTGGAATGCCCTATATGATAGATCAAGGAGACATATTTGCTTCTCTGATTGGTCCTCTGATTGGTCCTGAGTTGAAAGAAAGGGGTGATTTTTGCTACAGGGTACATGTGCTCATTGGAGAGATAGAGACAGAGAGACATAAAATGAGAAATCACCCCCCACCCCGCCCAGGGTGATGGCCGTGCCGCAATCCCTTCTCCATTCTCTTCTCAGGATTTTGGGCATGCATGCACATGCACGGTGTGAGTTTCAAGCCTCCAGGTCTGGGATTCAAACCATGGTCGACTTTGTGGGAATCCAGCGACGTTACCACTACACCATCTGCTGATCCCAATAGCTAATGAGATTCTTAAACATTAAGATTATAAGATTATTATAGATAATACTAGAATTCAGGAGTTTGTTTTTTTTTTTTTAATCTAACCCCAAACTTTATATACTTATATTAGAGCTCATCTGGGGACCAGCAGTTGGCGTGATGACTATGTTGCTGGACTCCCATGTAGTTGACTGCAGTTTGAGCCCTGGAGCCGGTGGCTTAAACTCAAGCTGGGTGCATGTGCATGCATGCCCAAGATCCCAAAAGGAGACTGGAGGAGAAGGGATTGCAGCGTGACCATCCTCTCTGGGGGGGTGATTTCTTGCTTTCTGCCTCTCTGCCTCTCTCTGTCTTTCTGGCAAGCGTATGCACCCTATACCAAAAACCTCTCCAAAATAATAATAATAATAAATAAAGAGCTCATCTGCTTTTTATTCTCCTCTTACTATCTCATTATCATAAGATATTTTTAAGTTACCAAGGGAAACTATCATAGAAAATGAGTGTATTTGATGTGATTTCTTAATTCCCATGCTACAAAATACTAAAAGTCTTATGTATTTTAGGGTATGTTCAAGCCTATGGACCTTATTCGTATCATCAAACTCCTTGAAGAAACTGATAAAGTGAGTAAGCTTTGAGAGAAAATTATTCTGCTACATCAATAGTAAACTTTTATTTCCCTGGAAGGTAATTTACATTCTCCCAAATGTAAATAATATTTGTCTCCATAGGTTGAATATATTTTAAACAGTATATACTTATGTTCAAGAACTGCTTAAATTTATCATGAATGTATTTAACCAGGTAAGGAGGTTAGAAGAGGAGAATAGATTTCCTTAGTATGACAAACAAACCCATGCTGACTGTAAATAGAGTAAATCATAATGTAGAGAAAGAGTCATCTAGCCTCTGATAACTGCTTGTTATCTAGCAGGGTTGGAAGAGAAGTGTGGCAGAAAAAGAGTATTGTGATATAATAATTAAAACTTCCTGATATGAAATCAGGATATAGATGCATACTCATGTATACTCATTGGTAACTTAGTTTGAGAGAAATCTAACATAGAATGTAATGGAAATATATGATTTCAAACACAAGATTCAGAATTGAGAGTTTAGGCATTGGAAGAAATGATATACACACATGCTCAAACAACACACTCTCCTGATGTCATCTAAGAATTGCCTTACTGCTTAAAAACCAGCACACACTGTATAATTATATGTGGTCAGATGGTATAGTGGTTGGGGCCCTGGACTCCCACATGGCTGACCCCCATGCAAGTGTCAGACCCAGCGGGCACATGTGTGTGTGTTCTCAGAGTCCTAAGAGGAGAATAGAGAACAAAGGATTGTGGCATGGCCAGCCCCTTAGGAGGTGATTTCTCACTTTCCCTCTCTCTGTCTCTGTCTGCCTCTGGCACATTCCCTATGACAAAGACCTCAAAAAAAAAAAAAAATTGTATGTGGTAATTTTCAAAGAAGGTTATATTTCTTTTAATTTGAGAGAGAGGTTTTTTGTTTGTTTGTTTGTTTGTTTTGTTTTGTTTTTTTAACTATAGGGCACATATGCTCTCTGGAGAAATAGACACAGAGAAACAGAAAGCGAGAAATCCCCTCAGCCACCCCCAAGGAGGATGGCCACACCACAGTCCCTTTTCCTCCATTCTCCTCTTAGGATTTTGGGCACACGCACACACACCCAGCATGAGTTTTAAGTTGCCGGATCCAGAACTCAAACTGCTTGAGTTTTAAGTTGCCGGGTCCAGAACTCAAATTGCTATCGACTACGTGGGATCCAGCGACATAACCATAACATCATCTGCTGGTCCCAAAGATGGTATATTCTTGTTAAGTAGAAAATAAGTTGACCATGATATAACCTGTCAAATCAAAACAATGCCCTGTGAATAGAAGGTATAAAATGTATTCATTGCTTTAACATTTTTTTAGTTTCTACCTTTTTTTCTCTTTATGTATAAAGAAGGAAAGCCCAAAATAAAATAATTATTCTGTAAGAATAATTTGTTTTTTGCTACTGGAATTTTTATGAAAAGTAATTTTTAAATTGTGACTATATTTGAATTTCATTAAGATAGAAAATCCAACTACGTATAATTCCTGTTAGGGTTAAATAAAGCTAGAGGGGGAAGTATGGACATTGCCACAGTTTCTCATAAACAATTTAAGAGAATTTTAAAAACAGAAGGGATTCAATCATGAAAACACATCACTGTGTAGAAGTACGTTTATTTTTACTATCTATTTTTTTTTTAGAGGTTTTTCACTATAGGGCACGTGCGCTCGCCAGACAGACAGAGAGAGACAGAGAGACAGAAAGCGAGAAATCACCCCCCAGAGGGGATGGCCACACCGCAGTCCCTTCTCCTCCATTCTCCTCTCAGGACCTTGGGCACGCACGCACACGCGCCCAGCGTGAGTTTTAAGCCACCGGGTCCGGGATGCGAACCGCAGTCAACTACGTGGGAGTCCAGCGACATAGCCATTACATTCACTGCTGGTTCCCTCTATTTATTTATTTTTAAAATGTTGCTATAAGGCACATTCACTTGCTAGATAGAGACAGAGAAGGAAAGTGGGAAAGCACCCACCTGGGAGATGACGATGCCATAATTCCTTCTCCATTCTCCTCTTGGGATTTTTGGGCATGCACACGTGCACGCACACATGCCCAGTGTGTTTCAAGCCATGGGGTCTGAGACTTGAACCACGCAGTCAGCCTTGTGAATAACAGATGCCTTAACCACATGCTACCAGCTGGCCCTGTTTTTATTTTTAATTGGTTGAAAATGTTTGGTTTGGACTGTACACCTGGCATATTTTAGAGGTTAAAACTAAATGTCTGTATTCAGGTTGCCATGCTTGGTTCCTAACAGCACCACTTTTTATACCGTGTGTTTGGACAAATTGGTTAAAAATGTTTCAGTTTCCATTTTTTATTCTGGAAAAGAGGGGTAAGAGTTTTGTTTGTTTGTTTGTTTGTTTGTTCTTTTTTAATTTGCCAGAGGGTGTGCGTGCTCCCCAGAGAGATATAGGCAAGGGGATAGTGCGAAAGCACCTCCCATGGGGCATGGTCATGCTGCAATCCCTTCTCCTCCATTTCACCCTCCTTTCAGGATTTTGGGCGTGCATGCACGCACATGTTCCCTATGTGTTTTCCAAACCTCTGGGATCCAGCTGCCTTAACCACCAGGCCATGGTCTGCCCCGAGGATCATTTTTGAAGGTTGATGAAGTGATATGTATATGTAATGCCTATAGTGGTACATAGCATAGAACAATAGCTTAACATATTTCAGCTATTGTTAACATTATTTTTGGAAACAGTTACTGTTTTTATATTAGCCTAGTTTTTATTCTAAACAAATTTAAACAGTTGTTCATTTTTACCTTCACCATTTCAGGAAACATTTTATAATGTTTACATTATGATTTAAGAATTATTTGATAATTTTAATGTATCTACTTTCTTTTCATGATACTGAAATTTTTTTTAAATCTCAATAGATTTGATAACACAAAATCTAAAATCTTTTTTTTAGGATGATTTAGAAGAAAAACAACTTAAATCTGTCAAGAAATTGGTACAGTATTATCAGAATGGACTTGTATCCTTTACATATATAGATATGCTTGTGTCTTTTATTCTGAAACAGAATTTCTATTAGAAATTGAATTTGCTTCCTACTGCTGCTCTAAGTTATCACAAATTGAATAGCTAAAAACAATGTAAATTTATAATTTTATAGTTCTTGAGTTCAGAAGTCCAAAATCAGTCTCATGGAGCTAAAGTCAAGATGTTAGCAGTGCTAATCTGAAGGCATTAGGACAGAATCCATTTTCTTGCCTTTTCCAGCTCCTAGAGGCTGTCTTCATTCCTTGGCTCATGGTTCCTTCCTCTGAGTAACATCACTCTCATCTCTCCTTCTGTCATCACATCTCCTTCTCTATCTGACCCTCCCTTGTGTCCCTTTTCCCTTTATAAGGATCTTTCTGATTACATTGTGCCAACCAGGATAATCTAGGATGATTTTCTCATGTCAAGAGCTCAAACTTGCTCACATCCTGAAAGTCCCTCTGCTATGTAAGGTAATATTCATAGTGTCCAGAGATTTGAACATAGACCAATCTTTGGGAAGCCATTATTTTATCTGCCGCAGAAAATGCCTGACATTTTGTGTTTGTTAACAAAATTATATTTTCTATCAGAAAATATAAATAAAATTGAGGAATCAGTATAACACAACAAACTCTGTAGATAATGTAAGTTTCTATAGATTCAGAAAGATGGTATAATTGGGAGGGCCAAGTCAAAGTCTTCTTTCTACCAATTTATGTGGACAGTTGTACCTTTGATAAACTTTTTAACTTCCTCACACTTTTAAAATAGAGATAATAGCAGATGAAATTATCAGGAAGAGCAGATGAGATAATGTACATGCAAGTGCTTAATAACCTGCAAAATGTTATATAAATATGTTATCTTTAAATATACCATCCTAATAAGAATACATGAAAACCAGTGCATTTTGTTCTTGTGTACATTTAAAAAAAAACAAACCTGTATATAAATACTACTATAAAACAGAATGAAAGTGTCACAGGAATATCAGGTTGTATGAAAGTTTCTAAATGTGAACCCTCACTTTATGCACTTGTCACAGAATGGTAACATACTGTACCAGAACTGACAGTAATCCATAGGCCACACTTTGGGTAATATTAATTTAGATGATCTCTGACAGTTGTCTGATATGGCCTAAAGAAGACAGCAGTTTCTAATATTAGCTCATTCAAGTTCAAAATATCTTGTCTTTCATTCAGGGAAGTGTGCTCTGTAGTTTTATGTAAATCTTTTTTTTTTTAACTTTATTTTAGCTTTGTTTTTATATGAATCTATTGAGTCAATCTGAGGACTTGTGTATATCAACAGTATTCACTGATAGTGAGGAAGGTGATTTCTTTTCCTATCTCAACTTAACTGCTCAACACCTCTATCTTATTTTTTCTCCAGGGCAGATGGTTGGTGGCAAATGGCTCAATTTCTGATTGCATTAGTAGTCTGGCTTTAAAAGCTGTAAAACTTAGCAAAGATAAGTTAGAGAAGTATTTTGGTCACTTCTCTAGGAAATTAACAAAGGTTTACATTTCTAGCATGCCCAGCTGCCCCATCTCTTCCTAATAAGCTTCTGGAAAAGAAGCTAGATCAACCAAGAAGTGTAAGTCACAACTACCATATATACTCTTAGCTATGAAATTAAATGAATCAAAATTTTTGTACCAGTATGAATTTTAAATATGTAAAATAAAAGTTTCTTTTGCCTGGAAATCTAGAGAGGATATAGTTTGCTCTCCTACTAGTTATAAATGAAATAAAATTCCAACCATTTTAAACCTTACATGTAAGAAAATGCACTGGAGCTGAATGTTAACAAAATAATGCAATAAAGTAAAGTAAAGTTTGGGTTGCTTTTTTTCTGGTGCAGTGTATGTGTGTGCAAGCAGGTGGAGATAAAGGATTTAATTGACCCTAGTCATTAATTTCTTTCTTCCTTCCTTTTCCTTTCTTCCTTTCTTTCTTTAGAGACTTTTGCCATACGACATGTCTGCTAGCCAAAGAGAGACAAAGAGACAGAAAGAGAAAGTAAAAAATGTGTCCCCACCTCCCAGGACTATGTGTGACTATGCCACAATCACTTCTCCTCCCTTCTCCAGGGATTTTAGGCATGCATGGTCACAGGCTGGCATGTTTCTCAAGCCTCTGGGTCCAGGACTCAAACTGTGGAGTCAGCCATGTGAGATCCAGCACCTTAACTGTCACTCCACCTGCTGGCACCAGTTAATTTTTTGCAATGTGTTATTACTCATTGCCAATAATAAGTTATTTTTTTTTTTACTTTTTAAATATTTATAGATATTTTGTACTAGAATTCTTAGATTTTTTGAAATACATTTTCATCAGTTTCTACCTCATTTGACAACTTTGAATTGAATCTATGAAGTACTAAAAATTGTCTACTGTAGCAAATGTTTCTCTGACTGATGCCACAAAATAGATTTAATAGGAATATAAAATACCTATTTCTATTAAGTAATACTTCAAATATCTTTTATTTTTCCAAATGCTGATGGAATGAAACATCTGTATATTCTGAAACTAGAATGACAATATAAATATGTACAGAATTTTTAAAAGGTTTTAGAGAAAGTATGGATGAATTCCTTCTCAAATTTTAAAAACAGTCTCTTAAAAAAGAAAGATCTCCTAAAATTTTAAAAAAAAGAAAAGAAAAGAAAAAAAAAGATCTCCTGTGCTAAATTAAACATACCAGAAAGATAAAACAGAAACAGCCTACCCCAAGGACTAAGACTAAGGGCTTAAATGAAATGCTTCAATGTTATGCAGGTCTACTGCCCCAACAAGACACAATAGTTTAAAATTTCACAGCAGTGACGCTGGGGAGGGGCATCCCAATCGTATGCATGTCAGTACTCTGCATCAATGTGCTTTGCAGTGGTGTTCAGCTAGATATTGTAAGCTCCTTCATATATTGTACCAATCTTTGCATCTCTAAAATATTTTTCCACAGGGTGATCTTTGGTAGCCTGATCCTCCCATCCACTCAATACATTTACTGGTTGTTAGTCCAGCAATCTCTGATGCAAAATATTTGGCCATAGATGCTGCTTTTATGAATGGCCTCCCAGCTTCTACAAGCCTAGCAGCATTATATGTTAGCAATCTTGCAGCTTCCAGCTGGGTGGACACTTGAGCCCTTGAAAAATCAAAGATTCTTTTGCCAAACTGCATCCTTTCTTTAAGATACAGAATAGTGTAGTCAAAACATCCTTGGGCCAACCCTAGCATCTGTGCAGCTATTCCTATTCTACCTTCATTAAAACTCCCTATGACATACTTATAGTTGTGTCCAATTTGTCCCAAGATATTGGCTTCTGGAACCTTGACATTTTCAAATGTTAATGGGCAGGTAGAAGAAGCTCTGATTCCCAGTTTGTTTTCTGCCTTCCCTATATGAAAGCCTTCAGTGTCACTGTCTACTAAAAAGCAGGTGATTCCTTTGTATCCAACAAAAGGATCAATCTACATTTGCCATCACCATGAAGAATCCTGAATAGGCAGCATTGCTAATCCACATCTTTGACCCACTGATGACATAATAATTTCCCTTTTTATCAGCTCTGGTCTTCAATCAAGTGAGTTGCTACCTGCTCCAACCTCTGAGAGGGAGAAACTTCCTACTGTTTCTGCAGCTTAGGCAAATAGGTGGTCTTTTGTTCTTCTGTTCCATGTTTTTTAATCAGTGAGTTAATTCTTGTGTTCTGGATGACACATAAGACAGCCACAGATGCATCAACTTTGGCCAATTCTTGTATCATTAGGACAGAGGAAAAAACACGAACCTCCTGTCCCTCCATATTTTATGTCAACTCAATACCCATCAGCCCATATTGAAGTAATCTTTGTACAAGACCAGCAGTTAGTGTAGTGGCTATGTTGCTGGACTCCCATGTAGTTGACTGCGGTTCAAGTCCCGGATCGGTGGCTTGAACTCATGCCGGGCACATGTGCATGTGTGCCCAAGATCCCAGGAGGAGAATGGAGGAGAAGAGATTGAGATGTGGCCATCCCCCCTGGATGGGGGAGGTGGGATTTCTTGCTTTCTGTCTCTCTGTCTCTTTCTGTCTTCCTGGTGAGCGCACATGCCCTATAGCAAAAACTTCTCCCAAAAAAAAAAAAAAAAGGAAAGAAAAGAAATAATCCTTGTATCACAGATTCCTCCATTTTTTAATTTCCATCCATGGTTGAACCAAAGGAGCAATTTTTTCCTGTGTAAGTTTTCTAACTGAGCTCTTACCTGTAATGTAGTGGAGCAAAGGGTAATCCATTAATTGTAATGTTGAGTAGAGCTTCTGACTGGAAAGATCTTAGGACATGAGGAGGAAGCTTCCAAGAAGTCAGACAAATTGGGAAGTTTCTTCTTAGCAGCCTGCAGCCACAGAGCAAGCGGACCACTGGACCCTCCATCTGTGCTGCAGGCCAGGTTACTTTTCACTCTCCAGTAATAAGTTACTGATCAACTGAATGTATGGTATGGTGCTTAGTAATCTAATTCTGAAGTTGTTGTGGGAAGGAAAATAAATTCAATAAGAAATTACCAAAATAAGACTGAATTATATTCCTAAAGAAATATGGCTTTGAGTTTTTCTCTTTAGACTACAAAATGAGAATGATTAGAATGGGTCTGCAACATTTAACAAAATAGTTGGGATTTTATAGACTTTCTTGACAGGGAAATTATGAAGACTGCGTTAATAGAGATATTAACTTTATTTCTTAACTAAAAGTATTAAAGCCTTTAAGGGATTTAGCACAGATATTTAAAGTTCTGAGTCTATGTGCAGAAAAAATTGAAAATCAGCCTCATTTTATAGACTCTACATATGATATCCTAAAATTGTGTGGGTAAGTCATTTTTCTTTAATTTTATTTTATGTCAACTTGCATTTTATTTTGTATGTCTAAGATAGTATGCACTATGGTGTAGCAGAACGATACAAACTCAGAAAATTGTAGCTGATCTTTTGATGCCAGCAGTTGGTTTTTCAAAAGTAGTCCATTTCACTATAGTCTGAGATTGCTAGCCATGAGAGAGTAAACTGCAAGTTTATGGAAAAAAATTTATAATTAATTTTATAGTTGATAAATATTAGATGAAACTAAAGAACTGAAGTATTTTTAAAGAACCTTTGAATACATTTATGGATAAGGCTTATAGTTTTAGTATTTTATTCTTTCATGCTAGAAAATTTGTCTATCAAAGATATATTAGGTTCTATGTCATGTTTTACTTCAGTTTTTAAATTTGAATGAATAAAAATCACCAAATATATTTTCGAAATGTAAACTGGAAGTCGGAATTATCAAATAGAATGTCCCATCCTCACCATTTGCTTCTCCAAACAGTTCTGAGGTCTACAAATATATTGTGCTTGCTTGCTGCCACATAGTGGCTAATATAGGTATATATTAAACAGTTTAATTTTAATTTTAATTTTTTTTTTCCCTTAAGATTTTTGCCACTGGGCACATCCACTTGTCAGAAAGAGACAGTGAGAGAAAAAGGGAGAAATAATCCCCTAAGAGGGATGGCCACACCACAGTCCCTTCTACTCTATTCTCCTCCCAGGATTTTGGGCACTCATGCACCCAGCATGTTCAGCTACTAGTTCTGGGATTCTAACTGTGGAGCTGACCATGTGGGATCCAGCGCCTTAACCTCCACACCACCTGCTGGTCCTGGGTTTTAACGCTTATGTTTAGATTTAACAGCAGTTATATTTAAAATTTTATTTATTTATTTGTTGAGAGATTTTTGCTATTAAGGTGCATGTGCTCACCAGAGAGACAGACAGAAAGAGAGAAATCACTCCCTGGGGGAATGGCCTCAACACAATCCCTTCTCCTCCATTCTTTTCTCAGGATTTTGGACACACACACACACACACACACACACACATTTGGTGTGAGTTCCAAGCTGCAGGGTCCAAGACTCAAACTGCATTCTATCACATGGGAGTTCAATGCCATAACCACTACACCACCTGTTGGCCCCAATATTTAAAGTTTTTTATTTATTTATTTATTTTGGAGAGGTTTTTTGCTATAGGGTGCATGCGCTCGCCAGAAAGAAAGAGACAGAGAGAGAGAAAGTGAGAAATCACCCCCCAGGGGAGATGGCCATGCAGCAATCCCTTCTCCATTCTCCTCTCAGGATCCTAGGCACGCACACACACGCGCCCAGCGTGAATTTAAGCCACCGGGTCCAGGATTTGAACCGCAGTTGACTACATGAGAGTCCAGCAACATAGCCATTACACTAACTGCTGGTCCCAATATTTAAAGTTTTATAAATTATTACATTTTTGATATCTGAAAAAAAATTATTTCATGTATGTACAATGCCTTCTTTTTCTTTTATTATTATTATTTGTACATTAAATCACTACACATTGTTTAGTGATATTATTATTTGTACATTAAATCGCTATACATTGTTTAAATTGTCAAGAGACATTACCCAGCATGATTTACACCTCAATCCAGCCTAGTTGAGACTATTATACACATCCTTGTCAACAGATAATAAACCTTATCTGTGTCCCACAAGCGTCTTACCTCTCCATTTTCCCCCCAAACTTCCTTTCCTCTTCCCCTCCCACACTTTTTCTCTACTTTGTCTCTAGTGTCCATTGCAATTTTAAATACTTTTATATTCTCCAGTCTTTTAGTCTCTACCATAGAGTATAGACAGTTGGTATATGTTAAGTGTAGACATACAATGTCTCTCTTTCATAGCCTGACTTGCTTCACGCAGCAACATATCTTCCATATTCGTCCACTTTCCACCAAATGCCAGGGCCTTATTGTTTTTTATGGCTGAATAGTATTCCATGGAGTATATGTGACACAATTGTTCAATTCGTTTATCAGTTTCTGGACATTTAGGTGGGTTCCAAGTCTTAGCAATCATGAATAATGCTGCAATGAAAATAGTTGTGCAAGCGCTTTTCTGACTGAGTCCTCTCCTGTCCTTTGG